GAGGAGGAGGAGGAAAAGGAAAATGATGAGTAGGAGGAAATGGAAGAGGACGAGGGGTATGAGAAGGAAGAGGAGGAGGGGTATGAGGAGGATGAGGAGGAGGTGGAGGAGGAAGGAGGAGGAGGAGGAAAAGGAGGAGGAGAAGGAGGAGGAAGAGGAGGAGGAGGAAGAGGAGGAGGAGGAGGAGGAAGAGATGCTTCCTGGGGGCCTCTTGGGGCCTCCTGGTGGCTTCTTCAGAGCTTCTAAGGGCCTTTTAGGGCCTCTTGGGGGGGACTCTTGGTGAGGGCCTCTCAGGAGCCTCCTGGCCTTCGAAGGCAGTCTTGGGGGCCCTTCTGGGCCGTCCCAGGGTCCACTTTAGTCGCTTTAGGGCCGTCTTGGAGGTCTGTGGGGCTGTCTTGGGGTCGTTTCGGGTCCCTCATCGGCCGTCTTGGGGCCATTTTGGCTCGTCTTGGGGCCCTCCTGGGGGGCTTCGGGGGTCGTCTTGGAGGTACCTTGGAGGTCTCACCGGCCATCTTCGGGTGTCGAAAGCCCGAAACGGCGAGAACGCGAATAAAATGGACACGACATCAGCAAATCAAGGATTTTGGCTTCCGGGAGAGTCTCCCCTGAACGCTGCCTCGAGGCCATCTTCGGCCGTTTTGGGTCCATTTTGGGCCGTCTGTGAGGCATCTCGGAGCCGTCTTGGTCTGCATTGGGGCCATCTTGGCCGTCTTGGACCGTCCTGGAGGCAATCTTGGGCAATCTTACTTCACGAGCGTTTTTGTACGGTCAATTTTTTTTTGCAGGGAAGGCCAGCGGGGGATGGACGGAGACCCACGGGAAACCCGTTGGAAGGGTCAAACGCAATCAACACACTGGCACGGCAGCAGCCCCTGTGATCAATCGACAGGGGGCAGTGGACCGAGGAGGAGGAGGAGGCGGAGGAGGAGGAGGAGGAGGAGGAGGAGGAGGAGAAGGAGGAGGAGGAGGAGGAGGAGGAGGAGGGGGAGGAGGAGAAGGAGGAGGAGGAGGAGGAGGAGGAGGAGGAGGAGGAGGAGGAGGAGGAGGAGTGCGAGTTCCCCCTCGTGGGGCCCTCTTGGGGCAGACGCCTGCGGCGAATCACCCCCGCCCCTGCCTTTTAGGATGCGGCCATTTGGCCAAACAGCTGGGCAAAGTTTGGCTACGCCATTGGACCATGTGTTCTCCTAGTCGTTGTGGAAGCAGATGGTTCGGTCAGCTGGCTGGCCGGCCAGCCCACAAAGGAAACGGACTCGAGCTCTTGAGCGGAGAAAGACAAAACATGTCTTACGTTTCATGCTTCCTGGTGTCAGCTATCTTACCGTTTTCGGAATTCCAGTTTCCCGTGTCCAGTTTCTGTTTGCTGGTTTCCGTTTGCCGTTCTCAGTTTTCCGATTTCAATGTTCAAGGTTCAATGTTCAATTTTGCGATTTCCGTTTCACGTTCTAGGGTCTCGGATATATGTTTTAATTTTTTTGGGTTTCAGTTTTCGCTTTCCGTGCTCATTTGCTGGTTCTGGTCTAGCCCCGCCGGATCCCGCGCGTTCCGTTTTCAGTTTTTATGTTTTCGTTTATTTTTTTTTGGTTTCGGTGGAGAGCTCAACCACGGAATCGGCCCCAAAATCCAGCATCCGTTTGGCCCAAACCAGGAATTCGCCTCGAGCGCGACACCGGAACTCATTACTAAACCTGGCATTTGAGCCTCGAGTTCCGGAATTCATTCAGGAATGCCGCAGGTGCGCGAAAACCGGAGTTCCGATCGGCCCATCCGGGAATTTTGCTTCCTTCTCTTCGTTTCTCTTTTCCTTTCGCCTTCTGTGCTCCTCCAGCCACGCGCAGAGGGGGGTGGGGGGAGGGGGGAGGGCTTCTTAGAAGCACCCCTGCTTCTTGGAAGGCGCGAGCTTTACATCTATAGATGCAAGGCCAGAACCTTCTAAGAACCAGCCTCCTTCTAAGAAGCCCCCCCCTTCTCCCTCCACCCCCTTGTGCGCGCCGCCAACTCCTCCTGCTCTGCGGCCTCTCGGCGACGACGGACGATGACGGACGACGGACGACAACGGCGACGACGACTGTGCGCTCAAGCGCGTCGCGTGCGCCCCCGCTCTCGCCCGCCTCGGCGCTGCGGGGTTGACGCGCAAGGAGTAGAGTGCATTTTGTTTCCTCCTCCTCCTCCTCCTCCTCCTCCCTCCTCCTCCTCCTCCTCCTCTCCTCCTCCCCTCCTCCTCCTCCTCCTCCTTCCTCCTCCTCCTCCTCCTCCTCTCCTCCTCCTCCTCCTCCCCTCCCCCTCCTCCCCCTTCTTCCTCCTCCCTCCTCCTCCTCCTCCTCCTCCCTCCTCCTCCTCCTCCTCCTCCTCCTCCTCCCCCTCCTTCCTCCTCCTCCTCCTCCTCCTCCTCCCCCCCTCCCCCTCCTCCTCCTCCTCCTCCTCCTCCGCGGTGACACGTGGCAGGCGAGTGGAGCGCTCATCTGTGGCCCCCCCCTCAGGCGGTGCCACGCGGCGAGCAGGAGTGGATTTGCACACTTCTCGTCCGCCTCTCGGCGTGGCCACGTAACGAGTGGAGTAGAGTGGAGTAGTCGTTCTGTTTTTTTCCCCCCCCTTGCCGCGTGTCGGGGAAACGTAAGACTCGAGTAAGCCAGAACTCGGGTTTGCCGACTTTTTTTGACGAGCGCGTCCTGGATTTTGACGGTCCTGATTTCGTGGGTTGTCTGCAGCGGGAGTATGCGTCAAATTTCCAGATTGAGTCTCGTCATTTTTATGATGGCCCCCGTCAGGCCAACCCGAGTCCCCCGTACCCGAGTCTTACGTCTCCCCGAGCGTGGCGTGTCGAGCGGAGCAGCTTCTTGTCGCCCCGTGGCGCTGCTGCTCCGCGCGCCCGTCGGCCCGCGCAGGCCTTCCTCAGAGTCGAGAGCTCCGAGCGTGTCAGGGCGGCAGGTTTCCGCGGACGTTTCCAACATCAGAGCATCGGGTGGAGCGCTTTTCTCGTTTCCCAGCCGTTGCCGCGCGGCCGGATGTTTGGGAATTCTTTGCGCGTCGTGTACCCCCACCGGCCTATCCATACACGATCGGAGGCTTTCTTCAGGCCTCTTGGAGGCTATCTTGAGCCATGCTCGATCTTGAGCCACTCTCAGCTATCTTGGGCCTTCTCGAGGCTGTCTTGAGGCCTCTTGGAGGTCTGTCGGAGGCTATCTTGAGCCATGCTCGACCTCCAGGGACCATCTCGGGAGTAGGAGGAGTAAGAGGAGGAGGAGAAGGAGGAGGAGAAGGAGGAGGAGGAAAACGAGAGAATGAGGAGGAGGATGAGGAGGAGGAGGAGGAATGCGGCACGAAGAAGATGATGAGGCTGCTGCTGATCATGGTGCTGCTGTTGTTGATGACGATGCTGATGATGCTGATGATGATGCTGATGACGATGATGAGGAGAATCATGATGTGGATTGTAATGCTGATGATGACGATGATGCTGCTGCTGATGATGATGACGACTATGACGAGGATTGGTAATCAAGGATGATGGTAATGACGATGATGATGCTGATGATAATGACGATGCTGATGATGATGCTGCTGATGATGATGCTGATGATAACGATGCTGATGATGCGGATGCTGCTGATGAAGATGATGATGCTGATGCTGATGCAGAGTATGCTGATGCTAATGCTGATATTGATGTTGCTGCGGCTGCTGCTGCTAATGATGATGATGCTGATGATGCTGATGATGCTGATGATGCTGATGATGCTGCTGCTGATGATGCTCGTGGTGATGATGATGTTGGTGCTGCTGCTGCTGATGATGATGAGGAGGAGGAGAAGGAGGAGGAGGAGGAGGAGGAGGAGGAGGAGGAGGAGGAGGAGGAGGAGGAGGAGGAGGGAGTAGGCAGGAAAGGGGGAGAGAAGGAACGGACGACGACAAGGAGGACGAGAAGCCGGGCTTTGGATCTATTTTGTCGTGAGAGGCTTTTGAAGAATTGTGAAGGCCATCTTAGGGGCTTTCTTGGGATCCCCGTGGGGTCTCTTGGGGCACTGTTGGGGCCCCCTTGGGGCTCGTTTTGGGGGTGTTGGGGCCCGCGTGGGGCTCATTGGAGGGTTCTGGGAGGCCTCTTGGGCCCCGTGTCAACAAGAGAGGGTTTTTCAATTCGGGCCCCCCCTCCGAGCTACGAGCGAACATGCAGAGTTTCGCGGCCCAGGGGGGGGGAGGCCAGGTGGGCCAGGGATGAACCACGAACGAAAATAAAGAGGTCCGAGCTCTATAACACAGCGGTGCAAGAGAATACGTTCCAAGGGAATCCTGAGCGAGAGCGCGATTCATGTGTAAACTGTGGGGAGGTCCCGTGCGAGATCGCGATTTTGGACGCCCATTGGTCGCGAATTGGGGCCTGATGGCTCGCTCCGCCCAGGAACGTGCGGTTTCGCTATGGGTGGCTTATCGCCGATTTATCGGCGATGTATCGCCGATTCAGGCTCGATGTTTTCCCTGCCCTCCAGAGCTGCCCCCCCCCCCCCCCCCCCCCCCCCAAGTTGCCCCTCAAGAGGGCATAAGGGCTTCCCCTCGTCGCCACGGCTGGACAGTCGGTCAGTCAGGAGCCCTGCCTCGACGGCACATCGGTTGCAGATCGTGCGTGAGTGCCTGTACAGTGGCGCTCCAGCGTCAGATGGGATGGGGAGAAATCTGTTCGCTCATGCCCGACCTGAGCAAGCCCCCCCCAACGGTAGGTTCATGCGGTGATGGCGCTGGCGAAGGCGTTCAAGGTTGAACTGCGCACGATAGCACAACGCGGAACCACCGAGGGGCACGTGAACACCACGGGACCCGACGGAATTCAACCTCGAACGATCGGGGCCGCGATCGGTTCAAGGTGGAAGGATCGACGCGGTGTCGAAAAACCTTCGCGCGCGCCGACGCCGCACGAACCTACCGTACGTTGCCCCTCATCCCCTCCCCGCCCGAGCCCCGCTGCCAGTGCGCGCGGCCTCCCGCCTGCGCCCGCGCCCCGCCCGGGCGAGGACGGGGAGTCCTGCGAGCCGGAGGTGTGCATCGAGGGCGCCCTGGCCCCGCGGTACGAGAAGACGGACCCGGGCGGCTCGAAGACGGGGGCCCTGAGGGGCAGGGCCACGGCAACGAGGGCCAGTGTTAAGTCGGGCATGTCCCTCTACAGGGGGAGCTCTCAAACATAGAAAAAACAGTCCGAGGACGTTTTTGTGATTATAAGTTGACTATTGTTTATAGATTTTTTAAGGGTATTTTTTAGTCTTCGTCCAAAATTCGCCTGTAGGGGGACGTGCCCGACCTAAGGCGAGTACGAGCGGCGGCATCGGTATCTTTTCCCCCTCTGACCTCTGGGCTCCTGCTCGCCCTTCCGTCACCGCGCCGCCTTCCTGCCGCGCCTCCCGTCGCCCCCCCGCGCTCGAGCCCTTCGGGGGTCCCGAGACGCAACTGCGCCAGCATGAAGCTTTGGAGCTCCGCGCGGCCTCCTCGGATCGGCGCCGGGCCCCCCCTCTGTGGCGCGCGGAGCGCGCTCTCGGGGCAAGGATGGGACAGGCCTCCCAGGCTGAACCTCTTCCCTCCTCCTCCTCCTCCTCCTCCTGCTTGTGGCCACTCGTTCTTGCGCCCCGCCCCTCCCCCACCTCTGAGCCGCCGAGGACTGGGTGAGGACCTTCTTCAACCTCGCCTCGAGCGACAGCTTCCCGCCGCCCGGCACCACGGAGCACGAGGCGGGGGTCTTCCTGCGGGCGAACGCGCTGTGGCCCGCCGTCCTCGTCGCGCTGGGGCTCGTGGTGGGGACGGTGACCTTCGTGTGCCTCTGCTGCAGCCCCGGCATGAGCGAGGAGACGCCTGCGCGCGCGCGCGCTCGCCTGCCTGCCACGGTTTGTGCCAAGGGGTCCGCTCTGGGGTTCAGTCGGGCGTGTCCCTCCTCTACAGGGGGAAAATTCAAAAATAGTAAGAAGCAGTACCCTGGGGACGTTTTTTTGGATCATTGTTGCTGGCTATTTTCGGGTACTTTCTGACTATGTTTGATTTGTCCTCCAAAACCTGCGTGTATTTTCTCTACTTGATTTGAGCTGTAGGCGAGCTACGGAGCTGGCATGCACACCAATCGACAGGAAATACTGAGGAGCGCCAGTCCCTAGTATCTAGACGCCCGAGATCGGTCCGCTGCCAGAGCTGCGACCAAAAACCTATCTGCATGAGGGTCCTGCCCGACCGAGCTCCGGGGCCGTCCACGCGGGCCCACGACGCCGCGCGAGCGTGCAGCGGGGCGGGGCCCCCCAAGCGTGCAGCGGGGTGCGCCCCGCAGAGGCCCCAGAGACCTCCCCCCCCACAGGATCCCCAGAGAGCTGGTGGCGCCGCAGGTGTGCGGGGGCGATGGAGCTCTGGCTTTAGGTCGGGCGGTGGAGCTCCTGGCTTCAGGTCGGACCTGCATCAGGTTCTCCGTGGCCACTTCGTGGAGGTCCTGGCCACTCCCCCAGGAGAACGTCGCCTCTGCACCGCACCATGTCGGGAACCGCTTCAGAACCCGCTCCAGCGCAGAGGGTGCATAGTTTTAGGTCGGGCATGTCCTCCTAGAGGCGGATTTTGGACAAAACATGCAAAATATTCAAACGATGCCCCAACATGGTCCACACAAAAGTACTCGAAGCATCGTCCCCCGACTATTGTTGGACCATTTTTGAACCTTCCTCCTGTAGAGGGACGTGCCCGACTATCTGGCTGTGGCCCCTGTCCCCCTGGCGCCGCACGGGCCCCCCCCTCGCGGCCGCGTTTGGTTCCAAATCGAAACGCGCGCCAGGATGGAGTCGGGCCCAAAGTTGTTCTCAGCCCTCCTGTGCTGCTGGGTCCTCACTTTCTCTCCGCTGCGCCGCGCGTGTTCTCCTTGCTTCCCTCCCTCCTCCCTCCTCCCCTGCCTCCTCTTCTGTAGCTGCTCCTGCGCTGCTTGATGCATGCTGCTGCTGCCGCTGCCGCTGCCAGCGGCTGCTGTTGCTGCAGCTGCTGCTGTTTTTGCTGCTACTGCCAGCCTCTGCTGCTGTCGCTACCCGTGATGCCTGCACGCTCATCTCGACATACCTCTCAGTGCCCGGGTGCCCGGGTGCTCTATCGCCTTAATTATAGCCCTATGAAATATAGCCCTATAGCCCTGTAGCCCTACAGCCCTATAGCCTTATAGCCGTATAGCCCTATAGCCCTATAGCCCTCATAGCCTTCATAGCCTTAGTAGACTTCATAAACCTAAGGAGCAAGTACAAAAGGATCTCATGTAATATCAAAAGAGACTCATATGTTTTTTTCTCCGGTATCATTGATGCCGGCTATGATTCTGGTTGTGTACCCCTTGCTCTTTCACGGGCTGCTTGCTTAGTTAAACTACGCCCATGCGGGCACCTTGTCTTATCTTCATGTCTTCATGTCGATCTGCACGCCTTTCTGTCCGCACTTGCTTGCAGTTTAGCTGGTTGGTCATAGCGCCCAAGGCGATTTCGGTGCCACGCCGTTTTTTCTTGGAAGGGC